AACGTACGTACCGACTACGTCGTACGTAGGTAGGCGAACGACGTCCTTTACTTACTTCTTTTACTTTTAGTTAGTTATTAGTTGTTTAGTTTGTTTCTATACTACTCTCTCTCTCTCTCTCTCTCTCTCTCTCTCTCTATGTTTATGGATCGGATCGTGTTTCCTATTTTCGAATTGTTTAGCAAATTGTTTTTGTTAATAAATAATAAAATTCAAAAAGTTGGGTTTCTTTGGGTTTTCAATGGCTTCATATTGATCTCGTTATGAGTTTGGAAACTACCTTTCTCTAAATAATAATGAGTGAGCAACATTTAGATGGATATTGACGAGTGAACATCAAACTTTTAGTTGGCTGCATAGATTGAAACATGCTTTTCACACATTTTTTTTCTTTTCAATAGGCATGCTTTTCAAAAACTCAAATCATTTAATATCCATTTTTTGGAAATGATTCAATTACTAAATATCAGCATGCTTGAATACACATACATACTCTCAAATTGTTCACATACACATGAATGCATATCTAACATTCATCCGTTTTTTGGAAATGATTCAATTACTAAATATCGGCATGCTTGGATACACATACATACTCTCAAATTGTTCACATACACATGAATGCATACCTAAATACATGCATATATGCTTTACTCTTGTGATACACTCTTGTAATACAGTTCTAGTGAAGAGTAATGCTCTGGGACTATTGTAATGCAGGTGTAGCAATTGCATCATCTCATTCATGTGAAGCTTGAGCTTCTTTTTCTGTATTACTCTTGATTTTTTATTTTTTCGGTACATACCTAATGAACATTTGTATTATACCCCTGTCAATCATCACATTCATTATGAGTTAATGAGTTTCCTGCAAGTTTTACGTTTCTTTTCAGTTTTTTCCTCTGATGCATGTTTTTTCTGTCTATTTATATTACTTCTAGTGGTGCTAGATTTAAATAGGCCAGAGTTTCATTGGTGTATTCTGTCTGAGTTAATTTGGGTTGAAGGTTTAGCCAATGTATGCTTCAAAAAATGAAAAAAAAAAAATACAGAGTTCAGGGTTCTATTTTCTCAAGAGCAGCATTTAGTATTATATCCATCAAGTCCTATTCATATACTCATAATCGACATTTTTGTACATGAGATGGAGATTTCAGCATGTTGTTTTCTCAAAGGATACGCATGCTATAATTTTGTACGCTCTTTGTATCATAAGCATCTCCATATTGGTTGTTGTTCTATGTGTCATATGAATTTGTATGATAATTCATTTAGTGTTTTAAGTTCGGAGGCAGTTCATTAATTCTTTACCAATACTAGCTTTCTTTCCTCGAATAATGTTATAGGGGTATGCATGACAAACTGTACTTCCACAAGATTATGAAGTTCTAAAGAATGCAGTTCAAAAGGAACCTACTACTTATCTTCTACCCTATGTCTCTCTACAAAACTGGACACCTGGAAAGAATGCTCTCTCATCAATATGACGCAAGCAGTGTACAATGTATATATACAATAAATAAGTAAAGAATGACTAGCATATCCCTGATGAGGGGATTCACCTAAACATTGCAAAACTAATATCAGTTATCAAGATGATGTCATTTGGTTTCATCATTCATCATCCATCATGTGCAACCGGAGTTTTATGTGATCACTGTATTACCACTAAAGCTGAAGGGGAAGTTCTATAGGACAACTGGGAGACTGGCTTTGCTTTTTGGGGCAGAATGTTGAGCGGTCAGGAAACAACATACCCATGGGATGAGTGTAGGTGAGATGAGGATATTAAGATGGATGAGTGGCAAAACAAAAAGGGATAGAATTCGAAATGAATACATTTGGGATAATTTAGGTGTGGCTCCAATGGGCGATAAGATGAGAGCAAGTAGACTTAGGTGGGCTGGCTATGTGCAATCCAGAGCCAGTACAACACTTGTTAGGAGGTGCGAGTTGGTTCAAGTGGAAGGCTCAAAAAGAACAAGGGGTAGGGCTAAAAGGACATGGTTGAAAATAGTGAAAAAAATATGGGGCCTTATGGCCTCACTAAGGGTATGACCCTTGATAGAGCAGAATGGAGGACCAAGATTCGTGTAGCCAATAGTTGGGAAAATGCTCTAATGATGATGATGATTCATGTCCTAGAGTGATCCGAAGCATGCAACCACTATGTTCATTAGTTTTATTCTTAATTGACATCTGTTTACTCTTTCACCATGTTAATGCCATCATACGGTTGAAATTTATCTCTACTTAGGAGTAAGTTCAATTGGATGGAAGAAACTATGCATCACCACTTTTCGTACCAAGAAATTCTTTCATGGCCCGAGATTCATGGGGCCAATGTATCTGGGATACTACGGGAACTTGCCGCAAATAATTCATCAATTACATAAATAGAATTGTTTATGCTTGTCCTAAAGTGTTTCAATGGTTATCATAAAACCGTTTTATGTTGTTTTCAGTTAAGGTAATGCAAGACATATTGTTTCTTTCTTTTTTTGTTGTGTAACTTGAATTCTTTATACGTGTTCCAGAGAGTTCCAATAGTAAGAGGATTTGTCTCTCCTCACTCTGTCTAGAAAAGCAAAATGAGCTGTTTTTTTTTTCCTAGTATGGCAAGAATTGTATTAGTTAAGCAAGTAGAGTACAAAAGTATCCCTTAGGCTAACCACAAGAGATGGTGCTGGATTACAAAAATAGGTTTGGAAGAAAGAAAAAGAAAGAAAGAAAAAAGAAAAAGATTTACTGCCCACGAGAGGTAGGCTGATACAAAAAGCAGTAGAGCAAATTTGAC